AGCAATTAAAATTAAATGCCTGTTGGTGTTATGAATTGAACGAATCCTTTCAAGGTTGGACTCTAATTGCCGGTGAGTCTCAAAGTTTGATAAAAAAATAATAATAATAATTGAAGTTATCGGAGAAACTGTGAATGAACTTGTCCTAAAGTTGTTATATAGTTAGTACATGCTACATATTTGTGGACTTTTGAAAAAAAACCTTTGTATGTGCTTTCTCTTGGTTAGAATTTAGAGTAAATTATAAGGAACTTCCTTTTACAAATTTTAAGTATTTATTTAACTTTCATTAAGATATCATCTTGAACTACTCCTATTAATAACTAAACATAAAAATATCATTCAAGAACTCAATAAATTACAGTTTTGAAGAGAAAATAACCTCACACGAGAGAAGTTGTTTTTCCAAAAGTCCACAGATATGAGGCCTTGCGCGCCAAAGAAACTTAACTGACAGTTCCAAAAAAGTTGAGGTACAGCTTAAAATGCATTACTAGAATCAAAACGGTAATAGCCCGAGGCACGCGAGGTTTATTTTACTATAATATGTAGCATTTGTAAAATACCGCATTTTTTTTATCATAGATCCTCTTTTCTTATACATATGTATTACTAAAACATTTTTCTCCCGTCTGCTCAATGAGAGCATATAACTAGAACGACCTTTTGAGGTTAAAGGCAACATGCGTTTTGCCCTCCTTCCCTTCGATGCTTCACAGTCATAGCTGAGCAAAGTATTCACCCAGATTCTAATGGTGGTTTAGATGGCCGAAGGTGGGAGGGCTATAACTGGTTGCAGGCCGACGAATACCTGATCTGAGCTCTCTCTGGCCAAATGGTCAGATGCCTCATTACCAGGTACTCCCGAACGAACTGGCATCCAAAGTAAAGCACCTAACATAATTTAGTCGTGACTAGGGTTGCAAATTTTGCAAAGTAACATCTATACATCGAAGAAATCAACATCGATGCTAAAATGCATTGGAACTGGAATCGATGGTTTCCCAAGTTTTACAATTATGTGGGGTCCTAGTGAAATTAAAGAAATTTAATCTTTTTCAATCCCAACCAATGCAGTCTTCTGTAATGCAATTATAGATATGCATACATATAGATGCATTTCCTACTATTTAATTAACCTTTCTATACCCTTACTATAATTACTTATACATACATACATATCTGTGTTCGTATGGAAAAATAGCTTATGTTGAAAGGCTGGATTTAGTATAAATCGGCATTAGCAGCATATGCTTGCGAGTGACTCACTGACGCTGAAGCGCTGAACAATTTTTGGCAAATAAACATGCAAGACTATTTCTTTCCGATACTAGCAAGTCAATATTTTTATTAACAGCCTTATTCTGTATCACGAACGATAGGCAACACGAACGATTCGTCTGCGGACGACAACATCTCTGATTGTGATTTTATTACTCTATCAGTCGCATTCGTCTTGCCATTCATATATTACGCTGAAATGGTCCCGGTTGTGTTAAAACCTGCAAGAATGATGCCGCCGGAATAATTTATGAAGCATTCCTCTGCAGACGAATCGTTCGTGTTGCCTATCGTTCGTGATACAGAATAAGGCTGTAAGTCTTATCAAAAAATTCCTTGTAGTTTAAAGAATAAAGGCAATGCCGCATTATACTAAAGCCAGCCTTTCGACATAAGCTACTTTTCCATACTAACACAGATATGTACGTAGAATTAAAATTCTTACTAAGGCTCGGTCTCTGGGTCCCAAATTTATAAGAGGTAAGTTCAATCAAAAGTAAATTTGATGCACACTAAATTCGACGTATAAAACATCGTTGAAACTGGCATCGATGTATCGTCAATTATGCGGTATTAGAAAATCGTAAACACCGACGGAAAACATCGAATTTTGAACCGATATTATCGATGTTTCGATGCATCGCTAGTCGCGACTTGCCGCACCAGTTTGGAAGTAGTTAAAGAGCTATCCAATGCCTTAAGTGCAGCTTGCCTGTCACTACAGTTACATAAACTCCTTCCCCTCCACCTAATTTCCACCACATAGTTCATGGCCTTGATGATTGCAAATATCTTAACCTGGAAGACCGAAGCATATTCCCAATGGAAATGTGAAGTTTATGCACATTATCGTCGATAAAAGGTCACCCAGAACCAGTTTTGCAGCCATCAGTAAAGATTCGATAGTGAGGGAGTTCGGGCTCAGTGCTCAATAAAGGCAATGGTGGCGTACGACCCTGTGGCTTTGAAAAGACACAAGTGCAGAGATCTCTGTCGCAAACAATCTCCGACTAGCCAAATTCAGCGTTATATCAAGATCAATTTCTTTTTAGCCTGCAGGTGCCCCTTAGGTCTTCCTACGTATGAAGAAGACACAAAGTGACGGTAAGTGCAGAAGTGCATCAAGAGCAGCACCGGGTGTTGTAGAGAAAGCTACCGTACAGCAAACGGCGATTGTTTTTTTTACAATCTGACGCATAGCTGATTATGGGTCTGATCATAAAGGTATAAATCCAAAGGATTCCCTTTCGTGACATACCCCAATGCCGACAATGTTTTGGAGGGCATTGAGATTTCCACGATAGTTTTGCATCCAGAATTATTCAAGGATACTTTATTTCCCGAGAAGTCGGAATTGTGACTGTTTCAAGTGTCTAGAGCACCTTCTTCCTTCCTGAATTTTTGTGACCGGCTGCGCCAGCATTGAGCGAATTCAATTTACGAGTACAGAATCTACTGAAATGCCGTAGAGCAGTATGGCACATGCTATCGAAGGTGTCATTGTCAAAAGTACCCTCAACGAGATTTTGCAAAGCCCTCCCCAAGAATTCCCGCCGGATTGTCATACTAATGCAGACTGAGGATGTGGCCTGCAACTTCTGAAGCGTCGGATACTTTCATGGCCGAGCTTTCTTTGGTGTGGCACGAAACGCAGCACAGCTACTAGCATTTAGCAAAACCAAAGCTGCCCGCCACACTTCTTGAGGATGTGCTGTGCGATTGCTGTGCCTTTATCACAGCCTAACTATCGATATAGATACTCACTAAATTGGCTCGAAGTTCATCCCAAAGTGAAGATTCCGGATCATGTAGTAAACCCGTCCGGCTAAAGTTGACGCTATTCTACTACGTCAGTAGGTCCTACGCACAAACTGTCTTATAGCCTTCAGCCTGGTAGCAGCTTTGCACGCTATATCCTTGGTCGATAGCCCTGCCGACAACAGATGCAACAAGGTGTAAAATGATGGCGTTGATGTAGTCCTAAACGCTCCTGTTGTGCCGATCGATCGATAGCTTATATACACCTTCTATTCTTTGAAGAAATCTTTTGTTCTCCACCGATGTCCACCAAAGCAATACTCCATGGAACAGTATCACTTTAACTATCGTTGTCAAGTTCCAGTGAGAAAGAGAAGGCGTTTAGTTCCAGGTTGCAGCGCAGTATCTTCCTGCATGCATAGAATGCCACTGAGGCCTTCTTCGCCTTCGCCTCCACATTGAAGCGCCGCGACAGCTTGCTATCGAGTATTATTCGGTGGTACTTGGTGCTATGCTTCAGCTGGAGGATGACACCATTGTGCATGCTCCTACACCATATATTTACTCGTACGGGTATGAGGAGAGGTCTAATAGTGTGGTTGTTGTATGACGAGAAAGGTTTTACTTTTGTGTGTTGAATTGACTGTATATCGGATAAGACAGTGGGGCCGTCAATATGTTAGGGTTTTCCTTACCAATTTGCAATTCTAGTTAGTCCTGGGGAAGTATTTTCCATTTTGATTTAGATACCAACTAGCTTTTTGTATTCTTCAGCATCATTTTTTCCCAAATATTCTATTTGCAAGTTATTCATATTATTTCATAAGAGCAACCTCCATAGTTAAAGAGATAGAGTTGCGAACAAGAGTTTAGTAGGTTACGAGTTCGATTCCAAAAAAAGCGAAGGAGAAAAATGTTTTTGTTGTCGAAGAAAATCCCTTGGATATATCTTATTAGTTTTGTTCAAATTTAAAGGCAGTTTTTTCACTCTTATCCAGTATTAACCAAATAAGTAACAACAGGTACTGTTAAACAGTTTCTAACTCTGTTTAGCAAAGTCACAATCAAAGGTTAACGTTTTTAACGAAATTTTGACGTTTTTCATTGGCTGTGGATGTTGAAGAGGGCATGTTGCTTCGACCGTTGCCTCGTGTGTAGCATTGTTATAGAAATTCGTGTTGCCGCAATCGTCGCCCGAAAATCAAAATATCAACCGTAGAGGCAAGCAACCGGTGTATTGAACAAGAAAAGCGGGTTGTCTCAACACACTGCTTCAACGGGTAGCCGTGAGTTGTCAGCATTAGGACATTTTTTTGATATAAAATTTGACGTTTCTTTGCCGAACCGAAACTTAAGTATTAGAAAGAAGTCGAGAGGTAATTTTTTACTAGATCCTAAAGGTATTGGCCCAATGCGGGCTTGCTTTGCTTGCCTCGCTTTGAGAACTGTCAAAAGTTATTTGGAATATACTAAAATGCATGAAGGCTGGCCAAATGGCAGCTTTGCTTCACTTGCTTTAAGCGCCTCAAAGTTTCAAATAGGCAAATGTTTTATTTGAAAGCGTTTTGTAGGCTTTTGACATAAAGGTATGTTCCCGTTCTAAATAAATTCAAACTGCTGCACCCTTTTATGAACAAACATTTGCTTACGTAATTAAAAAATATATATATAATATAAGTAATTCAAAGTTTAATAAAAATGATCATATGTTTCCAGATTTATATTTAACATATCGCTGGCCGAAACATATTGCTAAGTCCGTTTTTTCAAATTTTATAGGAACTTTGAATACGACATTTTGCGTGTTTAAAGCTAAAGAGCGAAATACACCACACAAGCGGCTTGTCAAACATTCTTCAAACCTACTTTTCCCATTTCGCCATACACCATGCAAACATGACTCGTTCAAGCAAAGAATTTTAGTTTTCTTCCAGTTCGCAATGCTAAATACTATGGTTTTCTTTCATTTTCCTCTCTTACCTTCCTTACTCGGTGAAAATTTCGTTGCGAATGAGGCGATTTTGCTACACACAACGCAAGCGGTTTGATCAAACATCAACATGGCCGCCAGAAAATCAAAAAATTTTGATTTTTGCTCAAATTTCCCTCAAGCGGTTTGTCAAACCTTCAAACACACCCATACACAGCACAAATGGCTTGAAGCAAAGGGAAATTTCGCTTGGTTTGTCAAACCGCTTGTGTGGTGTATTTCGCTCTTAAGCAAAACTCCATACGAATCAAAAGGATTCGATCTTTATTAAAAGATTTCATATTATTTTGGCCTTATCGGATTTTGGGGGCCTCTTCTGGACTTAGAAAATTTGCCTTTAATTGAATATAAACGAGAAAAAATAAAACAAGTACCTTAATCCTTAATTTCTCTTGCTTCCTATATCATGAGGTTTCACAAATTGTGGACTTAGCAACTTTTCACACAAAGCTAGCGATATTTATGATGTCAAACTACTAGTCATTCGTCTCTTGAAAAATTGTTTTTTTTATTGTTTTTAATAAATGTACCTATAGTTATATATGTATAAGTATTATCATTCCTTTGAAATGCAAAAACTAATTCGCATCAATTTAAAAATAAATCTGAAAAGATTGTTTGTATTTTTTTAAGTTTTCTGGAATTTTGTGGGAAAATTATTCTTAGTGTAAGGGAACAGACCTTAATTTTTTAACTACACAGCTGGTAGCTTTGGCAGCGTTCCAATCCGCCATTTGGCCAACCGAGTTTTTGAAGTAAATCAAAGCAAATTAAAGTAAGTAAGGCGTGCACAGCAAGCCTTCATTGGGCCAGCGCCTTAAGCTAGCGTTTCAGTTTCTTTCGGGATTTCCAAATTGTGTGCTTGCCAAAAAGTTTGACACACGTCAAATGAAATTTCATGAAGCAAATGTGAATTGAATTTAAAATCTAGGCAGTCAAAAGGAGGTTTATGAGCCTTTTAGCAAGAAGAAGGCTAAGTCTACTACATATTGTTTTTTATAGATTAGTAGTAATGGCTTTGAAAATTTTCTACCAGTCTAAAAAAAGCAAGTCTAATAAAGCAGTTGAACAGAAACCGAAGAAATGTCCAAAGTTGGGATAATTATAAGGGTTTTCTTTCATATTTGAGGCCGTGGGCATCTCAAATTCGTCGAAGGCGGCCGACATTATGTAAGGAAATTGGTCGATTCTTTAAGGCATGCCATAATTTTAAGGCATATAGGAGCTAAATTATAAGCTGCAATGCCTTGTACCCGATATAATCCAAGCTAGTCAAACGACTCTAAGAGATAAATAAATAGTTTAGAAAAAGGTATTTCACTTTAAACAAGACGTGGTAAAACTTACTGTAGCCCAGAACTGAGTACATCCGACTGGGATGAACGTGCGAACCTAGAGCTCAAACCGCCTCGCGACGAAATACTTGACAGTAGGAGGTTTAGTTCGGGTTAAAGTTCCACACTGGCGGGTATAGGATTTCGATGCCACTCTTCGTAAAAAAACTGCGTACAAATATAAAAGTTTACACATGCACAAAACTATAATGAATCTGTGAATCTGCTTTCACTCATTTCGCTGGCTAATCAAGTGATTAAAGTATGTATGTACCAGGTTTTCGTTAAATTTGGCAGTTTCCACAGTCGCCACAGCGCCACCAAGATAAACACACGTAATTCAAATAATATCTGCTATTGTACAAATATACAATAAGTAATAAGTATGCGAATTTGTTTATTTCCTTTAGTTTTGTGTTTAATTGCATCTTTCTGAGTTTTTTTTTGCAGTCTTTCCAGCTTTTCACGCTCTAATCTCAAATGATCTGTTCAATTTGCTTGAACTTAACGTAACGCATATATACATACATATGTATTTACCTGTTTACATACTTACAGTGTCTGGCCAAATGATTAGAAACAGCAGATGTTTATATTTTCCGATTATTTGAATTTTAATATATTTTTTTTTATAAGAACAAGTAGCAACCTTCTTTGAAATAGAATGCTTCAAACTTAATGCGAAATTCGCAAAAATTCAGAAAATTAAAAAAAAAACACTCATAATTTATTTATTCAGAGTTTTATAGGCCATTTCATCGATTTCAGTTCAAGTTTGAAGTCGCTAAAAATTCGCTTCGATTTTTGAGAATTTTTTGGTTGAACATGTTTTGATTTTCGCGAATTTTGCACAAAATTCGATTCTTTAGCATATATGGTTTATGTTTAAGATGACCTTTGTATAATATTAGATTGGCGCTTACACATATGTTAGTGTTTGGCCGAGCTTCTCCTCCGATTTGTGGCGTGCGCCTTGATGTTGTCATACAAAGGGGAGGGACCTAGAGTTTTACGCCGACTCCGAACGGCGATTGTAATTTTATGAGAAGCTGTTTTTAATGCAGGAAATACACTCGTAGGTTTGCCATTGCCTGCCGAGGGGCGACCGCTTTTTCCTATAATTTTTTTTGCGATGTTGCTTTGACCAGGGCTTGAACCCAAGCTCTGCGGAGAGGTAGCGCGCACTGCTAACCACTACATCACAGTGGGCGCTGACGTATATTTTTATATAAAAATAATTAGAATTAAAAAAAAAACGGATCAAATTGAAAATATAAACATCTGAGCACTGCCTCTAATCAAAGCCTCTGCAGGAATATCCTAAAAAAGGGCAACAAACATCGGCTGAGACATTACGCGATTTTAGGCTGGAAATTCACACCAGGTATTTCAAGCGATCTGCCTTCGGAAATCTTTTAAAAAAATTTTGAGAAGAGTCAGACGATTGAGCATTTGCTCAAAATAAAGTGTAAATTGGTAGCCCAAGCGTGGGATGGAAAAATATTGGACTTTGTCCGAATTTTGACAAACAACATTTTTTTTACATTTGTCAATTAAAATTACAACTGAATTTGTATGCATGGTGAAATTTAGCAGGTGATACCTGGTGCATTACCGTTTTTTCTGTCAGGCTGTAGGTGTGTTTTTGGTTAGTGTATTGGTGTTTTTAGTTCAGTGTGTTAGTGTATTTTGAATAAATTGTAATAGAAATGAAAGAAATTGTAAAAGATAAGAGTACATGTCATGTGATCTCAGCTGTAGGCATTTTTTGGCAATCAGCTGATAGTGTCTTTCTTACGAAACTGTACGTTGACCAGGTGTAGTAATAAGAGCGAGAAGAAAGATTTGACACCATCTTATTTGAAAATTTTCCTTTAGAAGTTTCTATAAGACAACCGAAAAAGAAAAGTCAAGAAAATAAAGCGAGAAAGCTGTATTATTACTCCACCTGTTTATTATTTCACCATGATTTGTATGTATTACTAAAAAATTTGTGTCCCAATTTTTATTTTTGTAACAAGCTTTATAGGCAACTCATCACACAAGGCGAGTTCATAGAAGGTGGTGGCAGTAGCTCAAAAACACTAAACAAATTACACCAACAAATTATACACAAAATGATAATAAGAATTACAAAGCAACAAAATTTGGATGATATCGAAAACGGAATCTTTTGATGGTGCGTCCACTTACAAAATTTTTCTAGCACGTCTCGTTTTTGAGAAAAAAAAAACGTTTGAACTGTTAAAAAGTGAATGTGGAGGTAGTTTTTTTCAAAGAAAAAAATCGCGTTTTAATACAAACCCAATTCGTCTGATAGATTCTACCTTATATCGATATGTTTAATAGAAATAAGTGAAAAAATCTCGCAAAAGTAAAAAAAAATGTTTGCTGTTTTTTCTGAAATCTAGACGTGCTGCAAAAATTGTAAATGAATGTGCACCAAAAAAATCTATAATGGTGTGGAGCTCAATAGCTATTGCCGTCTTCGCAGCCGGGTTAACAAAGCTTTCGCCGTACATTTTTGAGGTTCGAATAGGTTCCCAACCGTCGAAAATGTAATTCAAAGCCCAACCAGTTCACTCCTGCGCTTTTCAATGCTAAATTCACCAGTTGTTTGTGCGGAATAGAGAATTATGGCGAACCAGTCCTAGTTATAAATTAGCTAGAGGCACTCTAGTTCGGAACTAGTTGATTTTCCTACAGGGCATGTTCATAATTGTCTCACTGCACATCTGTGTAGATAAATAAGTACGAATATGTAAATAATCGCACAATAGAATCAATTGTTTCAAGCTTTCGATTGAGAATTCGCATTTAATTTACGGGTAATTTTTCTTGGCAAAGTTTACTTATTCCAACTGTCTGATTAACTGAGTGGATGTTTGGATAACCAGGCGCCATGCACGGATAGCATCGAATATATCATTTTAACATAACAGTTTATGTCTTTATCCGATATAGTACATATATGTATGTATGTTTAAGTTTTTACCTGGATAAAAAATATGTATTAATATTGGTAAAAACTAAGTGGTTGCATATGATGGTTAAAGCCAGGACCGCACTCAACCTGTTTTTGCAAACTAAAAAAAAAAAAATTTTGATTATCTGAAATTTTGGTTTCAATTGATAGCGTCCAAATTGGTTATATCATTTAAGCCACATGCAGTCACTTTGCTTTAATAGAAGACTCAACGACGAGCCTCTCTCCGTTTTCGCAGTTAATGTCAGGAGCGCTGAAATTTTCCGATTGTTGGACGAAATATGCCTTCTTTGCTCACCCTGCTTGGTAATAAAGTCGCCAAACACGATTTTAAAATCGTGGCTGGGCAGCGCTCATATGCTTCTCCTACGCGATCTTCGTAGAAATGCTCCTTGGTCTCATCGCCCTTCTCCTTCACTGTGGCAAGTATACCAATTAGGCTGATGTTATTTTATTCAGTCTTAATGCGGATTGCAGCAATTCATTCACTGATGGTGGTGAACCTGGAGACAATGCGTCGCAGTGTGATGTTGCAAGTTGCAAATTTTTTTCCAGGGATGCTTCGTCTATCGTCTATCGCATTTCCTGAACTGCGGTGACGCCAGCCTGGTATTTTTCAATGACTGCCAGTAGTTGTGTAGAGCAGAGCTTCCTAAAGTGTGTTCCGTGGAACCCAAGGCTTCCGTAGAAAAGTCAACGGGGTTCCGCGAGATTCATTTACAAATCATTCATAGATCTCCAGAGTACTTCGACATTTGGGGTATTCACAACAGTGTCGTAAGTGTCGTATTGTTGTATTGTATGTCGTAAACTTTCACTTTAACTTTTCAGCTCACACTTATACAAAAAACAAATTCTGGTCGAAATTGGATGCTACCCCAGAAATGCGCTTTCAGATATTATATTGCACTACTATTTTATACAATAACTAGCAGACGCGGCGAGCTTCGTCCCGCCCCAAATAAATTTGTTGTATTGAAACATTTTGGTCTAACATTTTCACCAACAATTCACGTTCATGATTTTCAGTGACGCATTTATCTTCTAATATTACGGTTTGGTGGTTGTCAGAAGGGATATTTCCATTGCAGTCTTAAATAACCTCATAAAACTGTATATGTGTACAAAGAAACGTAACTGTTTTAGTTCGTTTGAAAGGCGCCACGTTCCCTTTTCAAATAGCCCCAATTTTCTTTAAGAGTATGGGATTGATTTCATATATCTCCATACCATTTTCGAGTAATCTACCATGGGAAGTGCCACGCCCCTTTTTCCATTAGCCCCAATTTTTCTTCATGACCACGCGACTGATTTTATATATCTTGTACATACCAAGTTCCAGTACTCTTCCATGAACACATCCAGAGATATGCAGTATGAAAAATTGGGAGGTGTCACGCCCCCTGCACCTAGCGGTATGAAATATACTTTACATCCGATTCTCATACCTACCATATATGCACAAGAAATTTCATAAAGATCGGTCGAGCCGTTTAGGAGGAGTTCGACCACTAACACCGTGACACGAGATTTTTATATATTAGAAGATTAGCAAGAGTGAAACATTAGACACATTAGGGAACCCACTATTTGTAGCATGTATGGTTGTCCAAAATAAGTAAAGCCAGAATTTTAACACTCTCACCCCCAAGGACTTTTCTATATAAAAAAATATACCAATTTTTTATTTCGAAATCAAAAAATATTTAGAGGTCGCCGAAAGCGCACAAAGTTTTCCAAATTTATATAGGAAAACACAAGTTTTCGTAGAAATAGTATAGAATTCTTGAAAATCAATATTTTTCAATCGGAAAACTTTGTTTCTCTTCAAGAGACTGCCAACAATAATACCCATTTTTTTATTTAACCATTTTCTTTTATAACCTGACCACGTTTTTCTTAAAATCTAAAGCCGATGGAACTTATACTTACAGATTCGTAATCACCACAAAACAGGCTATCGAAAACAGCTTTAACATTTTAGGAAACAAAATTTTTTCGCTCTCTTTTTTGGAAAATGTTCAGTGAGGTCCCCCGAAATAGTAGCAACAGGAATCGGCGATGGGAAGGGAACTTGAGGATTGAAATTGTTTCCACATGATGTTTATCTGTTTTACTTATTGGAAAAGCGTATTCAAATAAATGCAAGATCCAAAATTTTACCTAACTTATTAAATAAGGTATTGATTTGGATAAGGTGAAGACTAAGAAGGCTATCTAAAAAATAAATTTCATGGGATCTATTTATATTAGTTGGTGTTAGGATACCATTATATTGTAGGTCAGACCATACGAGATCGCTAAGATTGAAATCACCTAGAATATAAAAATTACAATCTTAATTTTTTTCTCAAAGATTAACAATATTTTCGGCATTTTCACTATATAAACTATCTAAGCTATTCGGGGGCATATAGGATACGCATATAAATAATTTACGAAAACTGCTAAGAATGCAGACACAAAGCTCATCAAAATTTGATAACTGTTGTAGTGAAGAGCGTAAACAGCTCTTCACAGCGATCAAAACACACCCACCCTTGAGGTGTCCAGTTTTTAAGGCATCCCTATCTTTCCGATATACTACAAACTGACTTGAATCAAAAAAATTCAGCATCGAAAAAATCCTTACTAAGCCAGGTTTCGACAAAAACGTAGATGTCATATTTGGCGCGAGAAGTTGCTAGAAAAATACTTGTTAACTACTTGATTTTTTCTGCACTTTCCTCCTTTTGAAAACAAAGGAAAAGGACGAACTTTAATATCAGATGGTTGGGTTTAATATTTTAGAAACCCCAAGTTTAAAATTTACACTACGCAATTAGTTTACTGAAGCATCTTTCTCAATCAATTTATAGCACACAAAATGTTTACTTTGAATGCCAGAATGTTGCTGGGTTCAACAGTTGCCAACAGTTTTGTAGCAGATGAGCTAAAAGCTATGTCTTATGAACGCGCCCATAAAAAGATTAATTAAAAGCAACGCGATCAAGGCGAAACTTTTTTAAGGTTTGGACAAGTCGTGAACCTAGTCGAGTAGACAAAAACAGCATACTCAGAATTTCGAATTGACACTCAAGATCTTGGCTTATTGTTGAAACCCCTTAATTTTTTGGTAGGTTGGAGCTTACACTAGACCTTAACTTCATATGTACAAGTATACCTATGGTCAAAATAATAGGAGTGCAATATTTGACTTTTTTTCTTTACACGATGATTTTTCACCCTGGGCGGAAAGTCAATCGTGTCGCGCTTGTAGGCAAGAAGTGTAGCGGGGTAGGCATGCACGCACGGCCAGCGAAATCGAGGGTTTAATTTGACGTTTCGCTTTTATCGAATTCACATTTTCATATTTTTACTTTGAGTTCGCTATTCGCTCCACTTTAAAAATGAGGACGAAAGAATTTACCAAAGAAAATTTAGGGCTTCAATGTAAAAAAGGCAAGAAACGCCGCAAAGAAAAAGTCATCGCGTAAATCCACGAAGATTTTCGAAGACTTTTTTAAAAGGGAATGTGCAAAAAATTGGCTTTTTGATTGGTTTGAGGAAGTATGTCCCCTAAGAAGAAGCAGGTTGGGAAAAACGGTACCATGGTGCAACGCCGAACTCTCCAAACTTCGAAAAAGGTCCAGGAGACTTCTGAAGAGAGTTTTAAAAACCCAAAAAGAGGGGGGCTGGTCCAAATATCATAGCGTGCAGAAGGAATATAAGAGTCAAATTCGCATGTCAAAATTAAGCTCTTATAAAGACTTCTGCAATAATATTGACAACATAAATGAGTCTGCCAGGCTGTGTAAGGTACTTCAATAGGATCTGACGGTTAGGCTTGATTCTCTCAGAAAATCTGATGAAACTAATACCATATCGCTGCTAGACACATAAAAAACTCTCTTGGGTAGCAGGATAAATCCTGACGCAAGCAGAGATATGGTGGAGGATAGCGCGACAGGAAGAGCCACCAGATCAAAATGGTACCTAGCATCACGGGTGGTGACTGAGGAGTCAGTGAGGTTTTCTTTAGCCTCTTTTGACGACTTTAAGACACAGGGTCCAGATGGCCTGTATCCGAAAATGTTAAAGTGTGGGGGACAGGCTTTTTGTGAATCCTAGTTGGGTTGTCCTGCTAACCCTAGTCTTGTTTACGCGGAAACGAAAATTGGAAGGTCTCAAACTTCCAGCGCGTAGAGGCGTAAACTTAAGTCTTTCCGTGGATGGGATGTGAAATATCTAGGGGGAACTCTAGATACGAAGCTGACATGGAAAACTCACGTCGAGCTCGTCACGTATTCTGCTGTAGTATAGTGGCGCAGAACCATGATTAAAACCACGGTTTCTGTGTTAAACAGGCTACAAAGGAGCGCATGTATAGGCATTACGGGCACCATGATTACAATGTCAGGACCGGTTCTTAACGCTTTGTTGAATTTGCCGCCTCTGAATTTAGCGGTCCAAGAGGAGGCAATGAAAACTGCACTCTTTTGGTCTGTGGCATGACGATCGTAGCTCCGGGCACAGAGAGTTGTTCAGAAGGTTGTATGAGCAATATCCTTTGGTTTTGGCACCAATTACAAACTGATACCTGGAGTCTCCTTTGGTAGAAAGTACGTTATTAGATTTCATACAAGGGAACAATGGAGAGATCCAGATACTGTCTTGAAAGATTGTAAACGGTACTGGAGCTGGATGGCATCTGGACATTGGGGTGCAAAGTCTTTCAATCGGAAGTCTTTGCACTACTGAAAGTGGCAGACTGGATAATTGGCGAAAGGTGGCGCGAACATAAACCAGAATCTGCAGTGACAGCCAAGCTGCTCTAAGGGCCCTGGAAACTGGTCACACCTCTTGAAAGTTAGTCCAGGAATGTAAGTTGCGGCAGAACTCCATTAAAAGATGTAAAGAGCTTGAACTCGTGTGGGTGCCAGGACACTACGGATTTCAAGGTAACGAACTGGCTGATGAATTGGCGAACTGCGATTTCGTGGAGAGCCCAATTGGACCGGAGCCGATTTTAGCGTCACAAATAGCGGGAACGATCGGGAGTTTCAAGGATCTCATAAACAAAACTCATGGGAGCCGTTGGTGCACTATTGACACCTGCCAAATAACCAAGTGTTTCCTGAAAAGGCCTGACAGTGTGGTAGCGAAATTTCTTCTCAGACAAAGGAGTGATCTACGAGCCCTGACAGGACTGATTACGGGGCAAAATCTATGGGGACGACGTATGGTCACCATATGCATCATCGACGATCCACTGTGCACATAGTGTTTGGAGGACGAGGGTAGTACAGAACATTTTCTCTGCCGCTGTCCGGCCTTCGCCAGACTCAGACGGTACATTTTTGAATCGGATGTACTGAGAATGGACGACGTACATTCTCTTTCCCTCAACAAACTGCTAAATTTCATAAAGGAGCCTGGTAAGTTTGCAGAGGTCCAATGAATTCCCACACCCACCTACAATATAACTTTCCTCTAAATCCTGTCTCTTGGCCTTAAGAACAATGGGCAATGCTGCCTTAGTGCTTCTAAACTTTGTTTTTGGTTTTTTCCAGCCACCCACAATTGCTTTACATTCCATTGGAAGTCTCTTTTGGACCACCCTTATGCACTTAGGTATGTACATACTATGTATGTATACTATGTATATACTTACAAACATATTGCTGTTGTATGGAACATTTGTGTGCGTGCGTTTAGAGGTGCGAGTTTTGCCGCAACTTGGAACACCATCCCCAACACCAATAACAAAAACTACAGCAACAATAGCGTTAGCATACATATGCATACTTACATACATATCGTCGTCTAAAGTACAAAACCGCGTATCGTCATTCTCTTTGCTCAATACTTATCCATTCGTCCTGAAATGTATTAGCCAGAAAATCGATTGCTTTATAAAAAAGAGAACCATTTTGAAACATGAGTGTTTTTTCTCTCTAGAAAAAAATTAATGCGACCTCACATACGCGGTTTTGCATTAATCGATACGCGGTTTTGCATTTTGTTGATACGCGGTTTTGTACTTTAAACGACGATACGTATGAAGGTACATAAGTAAGTTATTTATTGTTTTTTTTTTGTTCTTTCTATTGTTCTTTCTTTCAGTTGTTTTTTTTTTCTTTTGATTTTGAATTTGCCGTTTTTGTTTGTTGGACGATCGGTCGGTCGGTCAAATGGACAACCGAAGTCATTGTGACGACGATCATTGTGCATTTAAGTTTGAATGGGGACCCACTTCAAAGATACAAAAAGATAAATTTTGAAGTACTTGGCTAGGTTTTATTCTACACCGCAGGTTGCCGCCAACAAGCCATCGGGCCATCAGCCCAACAACAGGCCATATAGCAGCTGGTTGTTGGTGGTTGCTAGTGCTGCATGCCCCCGCTGGCAGCTTCTGCTCCCGTCGCGCTGCCAGCAAGCAAGCAAGCCATTATTTTCTACGTTATATGTATTATGGTATCATTTGTTGTTGCTCGCTATGCTTTATGTTGTGGCATGGTGCGATTACCACTGATCGTTCATTTGGTATGTATGTATGTATGTATGTACGAGTATATATGGTATAACACAGGGCTTGATGGCTTGTAGGCTGGATGGCTAGGTGGCTGGGCGGCTGACTCGTTGACTGTTTTATTATTGCTAGGTGATGTTGGCTCTGTTATTGTTGTCATTATTGTTGCCGCTGTTGTGTTAAAATCGTGTGGTGTCTGCCGGCTGGCTGTCTGGTTGCTTGCCTGGCTTGCCTGGCTGGCCGGTCGCATGCATTCTACACTGGTGACTTGGGTCGTTGTTGTTGTACCCAAGATAAGATATGGCAAACCTGGCAGACAGTGTGGCGACATGCCTGTCTGCCACTTTGTCTGGCGGAGTCGCGATGTCTGTCGCTGCTGCGCTGCTGATCCGTGTTCTTTGTGCTGCATTTTCTTGTATTTGTGTGTAAGGGAACTACTCACACTAATACAAGCACTAAGCGAAGGTACGAGTAGTATGAATTTATGAAAAAAAAAACGTATATCGATATGTCTGTGCATGGAGGTGATGCCGGCTATTGGCTGTTGTTGTATGTTGCATTGTTTGATTGCCATACATGCATACAAATATGTGTTTGTGTGAATATCTATGTACATGCACGTACATATGTATGTATGTATGCACAAGTATGCATATGCATTTCAGTGCCTATTTTAACAGATAACCAACCTCACCTGAGTTCGTGGTCGTAGCTGATCGCGTAGTTGCCGCCACCGCCGCCGCCGTTGCTGCTGCGGCTGCAGCACTTCGGTTGCCCGTCAGCCAAGGTTGGCCCCTAACTACTGCCGGATTGGTGAATTGGTTAGGTGACTCTCTCATTTAGTTGTGATTTAAACTTGACGGTGGACGCGTGTATATTGTCGCTTATTATACAGGCAATTTCAATTATAATTCAATAGTAATAAAGTTTTATTAAATGAAAGTGTTTGCTAATTAACTTCTTAGGTAAAAACAAACGATTTATTGACCTATGTAAGAAAAAGTGAATTGATAAGTCAAATAAAAATATGTACATATATAACTGTAAAAAAAGCTATTTGCTATAGAAAATGTCTAGTACATGCATTCATACATAAATTAATTTAATGTTAAAAAAAAAAAAATAAAAAATTAATGGCGCCCATGTTAGAATTCAGCTTTTTATAAACCACCAGTCATTTAGTATTAAAAACAAAGTATTATCTTAAAAAGCCGGGAATACCAGCTTGATTAACGTTTTAGTGATACAAATAAGCAATTTAATAATAAAGCCTCCTCTTCAGTATATGAGGGCTGAAGCGAAATATTTCCGGATAAGGTTTAAAAGCTTAGTTCTATTAGCTCATTGCTCGCCTTCTTATCCCCGACTTTACTTTTGTTTATAAATGAATAACTTAAATACTGGCAGCCAGCCCTTTCGGCGCAAGCGAAGTTCGAAAATTAAGAAGAATATTTTCCATATTCTTTTATAAAGTGTGTCCACATGTTTGCATTATTTTTGACACTTTTAGATTCAGTTTTGAAAACCAACACAACAAATAAAACAAAAAAGTTTGACAGCAGGCGTTTAGTAAAAATTGAGCAGCAATAGCTGAAGGAAAAATATACAGTAAATCCGTTTTCACAGTGTAGAGTTAACTAATGGCATTTTCTTTTCCACAAGAAATGTG